TATGTATGTAGAACATAATTTGTATGGTATAGTAATGAAAACAATATTAATGTATAAAAACAAAATTAAAATATTAATGTATAAAAATGAAACTACCATTTTTTTAATTAACTGAACAATATTTTTTTAAAAAATAAATCGAATGAACTATACACACATAAATATACGCAAAAACACTTTTATTTCCCTTGGTAGCCAAAAAGTCTGTATTTTAGTAGTTCAAGGAGTTTGGAAAATAGAAAAAAGTTACTTTTTTTTGGAGGGAAAAGTATGATGGAATAAATGCAAAAATTGAAATAAGAATATTATAGTCTTTTTGCCTTTCTGGCCAAATTCTGGTCAATTTTTTCTGGCCATTTAGCATTACCCCTAAAATTAAACTAATAACAACCAAGAAAGGAAGAATATAGTAGAGAGATAAAATAGGAAACTTTGTATCTTTCTTATTTTGTGTGTTTTTCCATACAAGTTACAATGCCTTTTATAGGCATAAAAAGGGTATAATGGACGTTTATTAATTCATTTACAACATTTTTTATTTTTTACTAACTTTTGGAGTTTTACAAAGTAGATTTAGATTATCTAACTCGTCAGTAATTAATTAGTATGAGATGATTTAACAGGCATTTGCTCTAGACCTTCACATTTTTATACAACTATTGGCTCCCTGACCACACTTTTCCTATTTTTGCATAATATAGCGGTCTAGTAAAATAATAGTCGATAATATATATGTTTTGTATATTAAAAGGTTTATATACAACTTTTGTATATAATAGTATATTTTGATAGAAAATCTAATTAGTTTTTAGCTATTCGGCCAAATTAGGGGTGTCAAATGGGCGGGTTGGGTTGAAATTAGAGATATTAAAATGGGTTGAAATAGAAATTGGGTTGGGTCTTGATCCGTCCAAGTTTACTTTGGGCTCAAATGGGTTGGGTTCATATGAGCTAAAAATGGGTTGGTCTTGACCCGCCCAATTTGACCCGATTAATCTCAATAATTTGAACATAGTGATATTAACTTTTATAATCACAATTTGAATTTCAGCTCAAGATTTTTATTTTTTTAAAAAGTAACAAATATATAGATTAATCCTAAAAGATGTGAAATAGATATTAAGTCATACCTTTAATATAGGAACATATCTTAGTAAAGAATTTTAAAACGGGTTGAAATTGGAGATTGAATTGGGCTTACAGCCAAATATATAACTTTTCCTTCATTCATAAGGTAATGATATTATTGAAAATGAAAATAAATTAAAATTCTTCATTGACATCTCAGTTTAATGGCCAAAACGTCCAAGTTTCACCTTCAATGCACATAGGTTAATGGACTGAAGTTTTCAGGCTTATTAAATGTTTTGGGCCACCTTGTATACAACATTGTTTGTCCAATTTTAAAGAGGAAATTTTCGCATATAGCCACTCAAAAATAGTTTAATTACTCTTCATAGCTATAGTTTGATAATTACAATTCGTAGCTACATATTATAGGGAGGAGAGAGGCGAGTGAAAGAGGGCAAAGAGTGGGAGAGAGATGAATTGTATATGTATATCGGTTAGATAATTATATATTATACATATGCATTTGTATATATGGCAAGCGAGACTGGGAGAGGGAGGAGAGAGGCGAGCGAGAGAGGACAATAATTTGTATAATTCGCAGGTACGTTTATATAATTCACGTGTTTTTGTATAATTGAGTAATATAAAATCTGGAATTATACAAATATAATAAAACTCAAAGTAACAAATTGATACATACATAAATATATGAACTTTAAACAATTATACAAAATATATTATACAAATTACATTATATAAATTATATTATACAAAATCCAAAAACCACACGTTTATACAAACTTTAAAAAGTCATACACAAAAAGATTGAATGTATATGATGACAAAACTGAAAAATCAAAGGAAATCATCGTCATATACAAATAAAAACAATCGTATACAAATACAAATCAAACAAAGAATTGTTAGCTACGAATTATACAAATATGACAAATTATACATATACAAATGTGGCTAGTATACAAACTGGGAAGTCAGCCTACGTAATTAATGTATAATGTTAGTCGCGAGGGGTAATTATAGCAAACTTTAGTTATGATGAGTAATTAAGTAATATAATTTTGCTTAACCACGTATTTTTCCCAATTTTAAATGGAGGGATTCACTCTAGGACTCAAAATTGATCCTAAAATAGATTCGGAGAATCTTAGTAGCTTAGTAGGTTAGTTATCTGAACTTCCACCTTGTTAGTGAGGGTTTGATTCCCACATCGTAATCACCCCACATTCCGCCCCCTCCCCCCCTTTCTGTAAAAAAATTGATTGATATTCATAATACAGACAACTTTAAAGGAAAAAAAAATAGTAATAAAATAATAGATAAATTTCCTCGTAACTTATTCTTATACATGTATTAGTTATATGAATTTTTTAATTGTTAAACAAAAATCGTATTACTTTATACATGAATAATTTATTTCGTATCTACCTATCAAAATGTCTTACAAGTTAAATAACTAATCTAAAAATATAATTAAGAAACATTAGCTTATTTATTAAATCTAAATTTAAAAGAAAACATATTTATTTTTGAAATATTTCTTCTCTTTTTTGAAAATTTTCCACGTGGCAAATGGCAACCCTGCGCTGCTTATAAATAGAGAGGATTGGGGTAAATTGCTTTCATCAAAATCTAAAAGAAACTCTGAAGTTTCCAAATACTCGCCAAAATTAATCATCAATTCCAAAAGCATCTGATAGCCTCAAATTCGTTCAAAATCGCTGTGTATGTGGCATTCGTCTTAAAGTAAGCTTTCTTTATTCTTTTTTCAGGGTTTTATGTTGGAGAATTTGGCTTCTTGATTTGAATTCAACCGTTGTAAATTGATATTGTTTTGCTTTAGTGGTTTATTCTGTTCAAGAATTTGGCTTCTTCTTGTTATGTTTCTGATGATATGATTCTAATTTCTTGGTTTTCGATCATTCTAGTACTTATCAGTTGTTTTTCTTCTGATTTTTCATCAAGATTATTATCAAGATTATGAAGATCAATGTTTTTTCATCAAGATTGGTGAAGTAGACAGTAGTAGTGTTTCTATAATGGACACGGACATATGAAATACCCAAACGCATTCCACGCTGTTCTCCACCAAAAAAAACATCAATGATTCAGTTTCTCTCTGCTTCAGTAATGGCTATTGGGAGTGTAGTTGGCTTCGTCGGTTTGGAATTGGCTACTTCGCTTCTTCATTCGGGTTACTCTCTTCAGCCCCTCGAGGTTTATTACCCGTTTTTCTGTTGATAAATTCTAGTTCTTCTTGTTATGTTTCTGATCATATGATTCTAATTTCTTGATTTTCGATCATTCTATAGTACTAATGTAGAATTAAAATTTCAAGAAACTTAAAGATTTAGTTTAATGCTTTAGATAACTTCACCTTTCGTTTTGTCAATCTTTTTTTGGGTGGGTAAATTATGCAGTGCCTTGAGGTTTCTAATAGTAAATACGTTCTCATGTGTGTCTCATTCGTATTGTGATTTCAAGATTTTCGGTGAAGTGAAAGAAACTCTCACTCTCTTCTCTCTGGCATTAAAGTAAGCATCCTCCCTCTCTTTTTCAATGGATATTCGTATTGTGATTTCAAGATTTTCGGTGAAGTCAAAGAAACTCTCCCTCTTTTGATTGCATCTTAGGTTCTTTAGGGTTTTATGCTGGAGAATTTGAATTCTTGATGTTTCGTGATTGTAATTCACAATGTAATTTATATTCTTTTGCTTTAGTGGTTTCGAATGTTCAAGAATTTACAATGTCTTTGTGATTTTTTACCAAGATTCTACGGTGTC